AGGAATTAAAGCTTATCAAACGTGTTTTATTTCAAATTGCCCTGCCACTATTTTTTCAGCACAGAGACACAGGGGGACACTGATAGACATGATGCAGAGGGCTGCCAGAGCACATCAATTTCCATGCTCCAGCAGACTAATCGAGTCTGCTCTGATGCACTCGATTTCCAGCACATTGGAGCAGGCTCCCTACACACATATAGGAGCCCCTTATCACCTACATTTCTGCTATTGAGCATGCACAAAGCCACTCAAGTCCTGATGTTGCCAAAACATTGAATACTTAGTCCTCAGCAGGATTCATAAACTATCCTGCAGAATTCACATTCCCTCAATGGGGATGCTTCAATCACCCCTACAGGACTAGACTTCAACAAGTAAGGTAAAATACTAAAGTATCCACCAGGGATGTGGAGCCAAGTTCAAATCCCTCCTGTAGTAGATCTGAAGCAAGGTTTTGAACACTGATCTCTTAAGAAAGTGCCCTAACCCCCACGCTGTAGGGTGTACTTGAATGAGTTTCTCTTGTGCTTAACTGTATAAACTACTCCCTTTTTTATATAAAATGCATTAGAAGACCCTGTAACTCACTACTTCCAGGTGAATGCACTAATTGCCAGGCTGTAAGGTCATTCTCATGCACTGTCTCTTTCTAGCCCAGCAAATAAAGTAGTTAGGTGCCTCAGGATATGTCTATGTCACTTCTATGACATACTTCGCAGTATTCCTATGAAGCATACCCCACCCACTCACCCTCACTCCATGTATGATCAGACCCAAAACTGTTCAACCCAATGCTATTAAGCCCACCCAGAACATAACCTAAGAACACTGATGGACGTGCCCTTGGAGCCATTCCAAGGCAATTACATTGCCTCATTTTGGGGAGCCGATGCACTTGAAGTAGGAATGAGTGGGTGAGGCCTGCTTCTGGTAGCATTCCCAGTCTCAACACGGAGCCAATGGAGACATTCCCAAACCACCTCAGAGAAGCAGAGCCAAACCCCACCCTTGTAGTTCAGTTGATGCCTTTGGATACTGTTTTTTGGCACCTAACTCCACAAGTTCAGCTCAGGGCTGAGAAAGTCATGAGGCAACAGTGTGTCTAACAGGTCAGCACCGCAATTCTGAGCCTAAGTCCTGTTGGTGGACTTAAGCTGCCAAACAGAAAGATAAATAACGATGGTGGTGAGGACATATCTGTTGAGATAAATTAGACTAGACAGGGTTTTTTTAATAAAAAAATGTTTAAAATATGAAAATCTTAGACTCCTGCCAGACATGCAGGTAAAGGTGGAATGAGATCTGATGCACAATCTAAGTAATCGCACTACCTGCTGTGCCATACCTGCCTGTCAGGAGGCGCAACTGCGGGATCACACATCAGATCCCATTGTGCCTTATTGCCAGTGCAGGGGGAGCCCTGGATCATGATCCCTTGCTCCCCCTGCCCTGGCAAATTGCAATCTTCTGTGGCTGCAAGCCTCATCAGCTGACCTGGCTTCCATCCACAGAGATGCACCACGGTGGGTGAGTCCTATCACCTGGGGACTCCCAGCCCATGATGTGCCCCTGCAGCCAGGGGCCCCGTCTGCTGATGGGGGTCCCAGCCACAGGGGTGCCCAAGGCCACATGTTCAATTAATGGCTAATAGGAACCAGCCACAAAGTTATTATACATTTTTGTGGAATAACTTTGTGGCTTATTCCTCATTTTATCATGCCATTCATTAATTGAATGTATGGCCAGGTCACAGCTTAAGAAGATGTGACTAACTGGTTAATCAGATCTTAAGTGTAACATGTGGCAGGGGCCCCAGTTATCCAGCTTGGGACCATCCCTTTTTGAAAGACGGCAACTGTAAGAATCCCACATCAGTTCATTCTGCCCGAGGGCTGCCGCAAGTGCCCCCTAAATGACTATATTTGAAAGCAGTCTGAGAGGGGGGAAAAGAAAAAAAATGATGAGAGTTTGTTTTCAGCTCTGTTTTGTTTTGTCTCTTTGACAGCCCTATGAGTCTGGTTAGTGTCTTTGCTTTCCTCGGCCAAGCTGTTTCTCTGCGGCTTGTGCCAGCCTTTCATTCATGAGCATGAAGTAGCGGGAAAAAAGAGTTTAAAAATAGGGAAATGTAACCGTGCACAGGGAGGAGGAGGGAGAGATGAGCTGCTTGAAGCTGTTTCTTTCTTTAGCTGACTAGATTTCAGCCTGATGGGTGAAAAGTTTCCGCTGAAGGGTTTTGCCTGTACGATAATGTCCACAGTCAGGGGCAGAACTCCACCCCAGGCAGGCGCGTCCCGACTCATCCGTCTCCTCCCCACCCTGTGGCCTGATGCTTCTCTTCCTCCTCCTTTCTGTGTCAGCAACTGCAAGTGTTTGGCTTGGACTTGGCCTATTTGGCAACCTCAGGTATATGGAAAGTGGGGGGTGGAAGGGGGAGAGGCAGTCACGTTGCAGATCCACGTGCCACCGAGAACCTGGAAAGGAGCCAGGAATGTGGAAGTTAATCAGCCGCGAAGCAAAAGCTTTACAAACTGCACGAGGGAGAGCCCAGGAGGAGGAGGAGGAGGCAGAGAGACACACTATGAAGAGGGGCAGCGGGAGGGAGAGGTCTGGCCATTCCTCCTCCCCAGCCACTGGCAGGCAGCAGTGACTGATTGCAGCTGGATGGAGAGAAAGACAAGCTCCTGGATGCCATCAGAAACCTGACGGGACATCTGAAAGCAACAAGTGCCTTCTTCCTCCTCCTCCCCCTCCTCACCTGGACACCAGCCCCCGAAGCCAGAGCCAGGGAAGCCAAGAGCAGAGGCCAGCAGGGATGTAAGTGAGCTGTCACCAGGGAGGGGAATCTGGGGGTTGAATTACACTTTGACTCTAGGGAGAGGAGGGGGTCTGCAAAACAAACTAAACCAGTTCACTGATTAACAAGTCCACCTAAGTGAAGGAGGCATCTGACTAGAGGCCCCCTCCCGCTTATGATTTCAAATTTTACTGGGGGGGGCTTTTCTCTCACGCAGGTGCTCCCCGTTAATTTGCACCCTGGGAATCACAGACCCCTAGAAAAGGAGGGCTGGAGGAGCAGCCCCTGCCACCTCCCCCCGCGCCTTCTTCAAGCCCTGGAGCGATACCCTGGGAGCCCGTTCCTGTGCTCCTCCCGCACTGCCTTGCCCACCTCCAACCTCCCCGGGCAGCGGGACCCGCGGGCTGGGGCTCCAGTGCCCGGGAGAAGTGGCGCGCGGCGCCGCGGGTTGAAGCGGGGCGGGGGGGCTGCCTTGCGCCGCCGCCTCCCCCGTGAGGAGCCCTGCCCCTCCGGCAGCCCGGCCCGCCCCAGGCTCTTCCCTGGGATTTCCCCTCCGCGTCCCAGGGCCCGACTGCGAGCCAGGAGCTGTGCAGGCTGCGGGAGTCCGGCAGCTCTAGCAGCAGGGGGCAGAGACTTTAGTGCGGCCTTTACAAGGGATGGATAAAACCCTGCAAAGCACCTGTCGGGGACAATCGCGCGTCTCAAAAACCATTACTGCGCAGTAATTGCGGGTATTGTGCGGTAACCAAACATGACTGTGCAGCACGGTCATGTGCCTACACGTGCATACCCATACTGTGCAGTAATTATGGTGACCTATGCTGATTTGGGTGTAAATTTGGGTGTAATTTACATAGCAAATTAACACCCATGAACAACGTGTGCCTCCTGAGGCTGGGGGGTAACAAAGGGTGTCTACAGCAGGGACGTGTAGGCGGCAAGCAGGGACCACCTGCAGGCAGCAGCGGTGATGGTGGTGAGGGTGGGCCAAGCGGGGACAGCCCACAGGCAGCCACAGCAGTGTCAGCGGTGAGGGGGAGAGGATGGAGAGCAGTGACTGCCCACAAGTGGTGACACAAGCGGCAGTGGTGGCCAATTTTAGGGAGAGCACATACCCCCCCCCCACATGCATCACCTATATTTACACCTGAGTAGTTGCTACACAGTCATGTGTAGACGCCTTATTGCGCAGTAACCATTTGTGTGGTTAGCAGTTTGAATGCCCTCCCCCTGCTTGTCATACAGAGGGAACTAGCATGTACCAGCAAGGAAAAGAATGTAAAATCCCCCTAAAAACATCGAGTTCTTTTGCCAAAATCATTCATAGATTCATAGATATTAGGGGCTGGAAGGGACCTTGCGAGAGTATTGAATCCAGCCTCCTGCCATGGGTAGGAAGTCTGCTGGGATCAAATGATCCCAGCAAGGTAAGCATCCAAACATTTCTTGAATGAGTCCGAAGTAGGTGATTGCACCACCTCTGGGGGGAGTCTGTTCCAGATCCTGGCCACTCAGACAGTAAAGAAGTTTTTTCTTATGTCCAGTCTAAATCAGCCTTGCAGAAATTTGTGGCTGTTAGACCTTGCTGTTCTCCCAGATCTAAAAAAGGGGGCAAGGAGTGAAATCCTTATAGCGAGGATTTTACCCAAGTCCCCACCCCCCCCACCACACACACACACGGCAAAAAGAAGGAAAAACGTTCTCTGGCAAGATGCTATTGTGTAACTGCTCATTTTAAGGTCCCCATACCTTCCCCTGAAAAACAAAATGGTACTGCTGTCAGAAAGAAGATAGTTAAGACGTAAGCAAGGCAGTTTCTTGTCTAGTAAATGTTACTTAAGATATTCAAAAATAATACTATCACAAAGCCCCATATGTTTGAGAAACATCAGGGTTTGTTTGTTTTTTTATTTTATCCTGGTGCAGTTGTATCAAAGAAGCGGTTCACCGTTCATCTGAGAAAAGCTTCTAAGACAAAAGATTGTTTCCTCCAGTGCCTTGCCTCTCCTTTCCCAAATGTGATGGATTACCTTTGTGTGAACTTAGCTTAAACCACTGGAGGTTTGGCACCAGATGAAAAAGCAACATAGCAGCAGTGTGGCTGTTATTAGCTATAGTGACAACCGATACTGCTGAATATCCTAACAGTTCAGGGCAAGGTGATACATGATTGCAGGAAGAGCAGTTTCCTTCTGAGATCTTGGACACCACCCAGAGGCTTATTTCTATTGCTGTAATTGCAGCTGCCTCCCCTTGGAGGCACTGAGAGCTGTGGGTTAGAGCCACAAAAGGATTTGAGCACCAAAATCTATCATTTAGGTGCTACTGATAGCTTAGGGGATCAAAACTCGTGGAAGAGGTGATATCTTTTATTAGACCAACTAGATATTTGCAAACAAACTACTGCATTTATCTGCAAGCTTTGGGGCGCACACACCCTTCATCAGGCATAGGAAAGAGCAGAGGCCACAAAAGTTCTCCTAGTTAGAAATGAAAATTCACAACCTGCATAACTGGTAGCTTAAACACTATCACTCACTTGCTGCCAAACCCTAAAGTTGCAAAATTCCCTCAGTGCCTTAGAAGATGTCCACGCCACTATTATGGCATTTGGCAGCCTTGTACTGAGACACCGTGCTGGTGACGCTGCTTCCAATGTGAGAGCTAGCGCAGAGGTAGCATGTCTCACTATGGCACAGCCTGGCATAGTATTGAGTGATAGAGACACTCCCAGCAGAAGAAAGGGTATGTGCAAAGTCACCTAAGCATTGATACTGCTCCACATCTAAGAGCTGCTCAGATCCCTAGTTGCAAAGCCAGATTCTCAGTTTCAGCATTGTCCTGCCTGTCTAATCACAGGGGTCTGTTCCTGTGGGTATGCTCAGAGCACCCTTAAGCTAGATGCGACCCAAGCAAAACATCCATCGCCAATGGTCAGCTTTGTTTTGGGGTACCCCAGCTGCTACAGCACTTCCCTGGGAGGTTGGAGCCTGAGGTCTGCAGGCTATACAGAGTAAGGAAGAAAGGCTGAGAGAGGTTAAGTGACTTGATCAAAACCATGCATAGAGTCAGTGCAATCCCAGAACTAGAGCTAAGGAGCTCCTTGTAGAATGGGGATTTCAACCTGAGGCTTCCAACCACCCAAGGAAATGCTGTAGCCACTGGGGTACCCTAAAACAGAGAAATCAGAATCCTGAGCAACCTCCAAACCATGTCCCTCCTTTTCCTCTCTGAATATTCTCTTCTATAGGAAGCTTTCAATCCCAAGTGGTGTTGGGGCAGGATTTGCCCTGACAGGATCAAATACATAAGCTTGCTTTTATTTTTGTCTATGGGTGGGAATTTCACCCATACCACATGCACATTTTGTTTCAGAAGGTAGAATAAAAATTACAGGGAGGTGGTTACATTTCTGCATGGTTCAGGTTCCAACTTAAATAGCGAATGTAAATAGGAACAGTAGCCAAAGGAGAGATACCATCTCCGCTGTATCCTGGCTTTTATATTTTCTTCCAAGAGGCAAGGATTTCTTAGGTTGATATATTTTATTGAACCAAATGTGTGGTTAGGACAGAGTTAAACAAGCTTCCAAATGCAAGAAATTCTTTGTCTGGTCTGATCAGATGGCATGAATGCTTTGCATTTGAAAGCTTGTCTAACTAACCCAACAATGCAGATGGTCCAGTAAAAGATATCACCCTAAGAAATCCTTGCCTCTCATATAATGTCTGGACCACCACAGCTACATCACTCTTATACTACCATTTTTTTCACTTTTTCCACCCTGAGATTTCTTTCAATCCCTTCCCTTCATACTGGAATATTTAATACACATTGTCTCCTGTGTCTCCTCACTTGTCCCCATATCTTTTTGCCCACCCTGTTGTTATTTACAGTATATTGTGTTAAAATCCATAAGTCCCAGTCCCGGACTAAGAGCCCATTGTAGGAGACACTGCATAACCAAACACTCTTGACCCCAAAGAACTTAAAGTCAGTTCCCCAGTGCTCCCCTGGGACTCCAAGATAAATGATCCTACACCTGTCACTCATTGTATAGTAAACCACAGACAAAAGAGAGAGGAAGGCCTCCCTTTCCTTCCGCCCACACCTCTCACAGCAAGTAAGATATCAGCCTCCAGCTGCATCCCAGTGAAGCCAACGGCAGTTCTCCATGAGGAAGGGAGACTTGGAGAAGTTTTGAAACATTTCCTTTAAGATACTCAGAAATATCCAAACATACAAGGTGCAGACAGAAGTGCAGCTCCCATTCTAACTCATGGAGCTTCACAGAAAATGCCATAGGTTAGGCGGATCTTCCCAACCCAAGAGACATTAGCTGTTGTGGTGGGGGGGGGGGTGGGTTGAAGAAGAGAGGGAGGTCTGTTTTGGGGTTTCCCTAGCCTGAGCTGGAGTGGGGGACGGATTGGAGTCCCTCCCCCCCTCCCAAGGTGGGCTGGCAACCCCCAAAATGAGCTCCCTCTACTCTCTTCTCCCCCTTTCCATTCTGAAAATAGTTCCAGGAACAGGGCTGGGCTGTGTCAGCCCAGTCCTGCTCCTGGCACATGCAGACACAAGTTAATGAAGGCACTCCACTTTGGAGTGCCTTCATCTGAACCCTCATGTAATGAGGGTTCAGATTGTCATGGAATCTGGCCCTTTTAAAGTGCTCTGCAACTGTGCATTTGTGTTAAGTCGTGGCTGTAGAGTGCTTTAAGGGGCCAGATTCAGCAAAAATTGTCACTTTTGTCTGTGCCTTTAGCTACCCCTCTCTCCCTACCAAGAGCATGTGTGTTGGGTGTTGGGGGGGGGGGGGGTTGAAGAAGAGAGGGAGGTCTGTTTTGGGGTTTCCCTAGCCTGAGCTGGAGTGGGGGACGGATTGGAGTCCCTCCCCCCCTCCCAAGGTGGGCTGGCAACCCCCAAAATGAGCTCCCTCTACTCTCTTCTCCCCCTTTCCATTCTGAAAATAGTTCCAGGAACAGGGCTGGGCTGTGTCAGCCCAGTCCTGCTCCTGGCACATGCAGACACAAGTTAATGAAGGCACTCCACTTTGGAGTGCCTTCATCTGAACCCTCATGTAATGAGGGTTCAGATTGTCATGGAATCTGGCCCTTTTAAAGTGCTCTGCAACTGTGCATTTGTGTTAAGTCGTGGCTGTAGAGTGCTTTAAGGGGCCAGATTCAGCAAAAATTGTCACTTTTGTCTGTGCCTTTAGCTACCCCTCTCTCCCTACCAAGAATATATGATGCTTGTTAAATTGAGTATGTTTCATGGTCTGTCCTTGGTAGGGAATCGCTGATCTTTAAGCTCATCGGAGAGCAGCAGAAGGGCAAAAAGATGATGGTGTGGAGACCAGTGAAGACAAACTGTGTGCGAAGGAACCTCTTTGGTCCTGTGGACCACGAGCAGCTGCAGAAGGACTTCCAGCAGCTACTGCGCAGCGGTGTAGAGGGAGCCAAGCAGAAGTGGAACTTTGACTTCCTACGAGAAATACCAGCTGAGGGGCTCCTGCAATGGGAAGAGCTACAGGGCCATGAGGTCCCAGCCTTTTACCACAGCTGTGTGGTAGGAGAGGCTCGCAAGCCCTTGCAGCTCTTGAACCGGCCCATGGGCAAGGAAGCCAGGGCTCACCAGTTTGCCAAGGTGACACTGACTGAGAAATCCAAAGCTCCCAAGAAAATTGTAGGCAAGAGCCCAGAAGTGAAGAAACAAAGACAGGCTTCCGTCACAGGTGCGTGAGATTTTTGCTGTTTGTTGCTTACCCCAGAAAAACCAGAGACAGGGCTTTGCAGAAATTAGCTTCTGATAGGCCTCTTACCAGTCCTGATTTCACACAGGCCACTCTTCAGATAAATTAGATGGCATGAATGATTCCAAGAAGTAGTGGCCTTAAAATGTTCAGTGTACATGAGATACCATGGGCTTTATTTTTAGAAAGTGCTGAGCACCTGCAGCTGCCATAGATTTCTTTGGGATTTATTTTTGTGTAGGACTTCTGAAAGTCAATCCAAGGCAAATAATGATTGATTACTCTTTAATATTTTGTGGGGATGGGAAAGCAGTTTAGGCAGTTGAGTGGGAGGAGTGCTAAGAAAAATACTGTGTTTTTCTTGAATATAACCTACACCTTTCCCACAAAACCAGCTGGTAGAACTTGGGATATGCATTATATGTGAGAAATAGGGCTCCCCATGAGTCCAGAAATTTGGTGGTAAGGGAGCAGCGGCAGCAGTCCCAGAGTGCTCCTTCAAACCACACTCATTAACACTACCAGCACTCCCCCACTGCCAGATTCCTGGACCCACGGGGAGCCCCCCAGCCAGACAACATGGCTCTGCACACCAATTCAGCCACCCATGCAGGGATGCTTCACAGCTATACCTGACTTGCAGCCCCAGACCCAACACATGGCCCTTATGCACCAGGTCAGACCCAGCACATGGCCTGGCCCCGGGGTACTGGGTTTGTCTGTGGACCCCATCCAGCGTGTGAGGCTGGCAGTAAGCTTGACTCCCTAGCAGCTGCTACTCAGTTACCACAAAGGAAGTTGGGTTTTTTTCTTCATGCTGCCCTTAAAAAAGATGTGCTGTATACAAAGGCATACTGTATGTGAGAAAATATGGTAGTTGATCTCACCTTAAAGGGGAACTTGGGTCTCACCACAAGCATATATCCACTTCCATTTATTCTTTTTATTTTATTTTATTTATTTTATTTTAGTTTTAGAGCTGCCCACAGATAATCAGGTGCTGTCTTCCCAAAAATGAAGTATGAGGAACAACAGAATCAGAAGAGGGTAGAGCAGGAACCAGAAGGAAGAAGCCATTGTAGATATGAATATTATTTTGTATATGGTCTTCAGCAAAAGCCTCTAGAGATTTTTTTAAGAGACAGATCAGTCTGAAATTTGGCCAGATGGCAGAAAGGGCCAATTTTTCAGGTATTCAACACTGATATGTGGTGCTAGATACTCAAAGGAGTTCAGCTCTCATATACATTTTTTTCAAAGGGGCTCCTATTCTGATGCTTATTGTCACATGTTCAGAAGTGCTCAGAACTCTGCACTAAACTCTTCTGAAAAATCAGACTCCTCATGTTGGTGTCCTAAAAAGGGAGCTGAGCTCTTTTGAAAATCTGCCCATAAATGATGATATTTTACTTGTACTTACTGGGCTGTCAGTTTGTCACCAAGGTATTTTCTTGCCTGCCTGAGGCAGAGAACACTAAGTATCAGCTTAAATCTGTCAAAAAGACTAAGATTTTGGACATGTTTTTTAATACAAAAGTTAATCAGGCAATGCAATAGCTTGCCAGGAGAGGTGATGGAGTCATCATCATCACTAAAGATATTCAAGGGTAGGTTACAGATTAGTGAAGAGAGGACCATCCTGTACCAGAGGATGGGGCTATGGTACATGATAAATGCACTTTTGATGTCCATTGGGCTTTTCAGGCCTTAACCAATTAACAGTAAAATTTAAGTGGAATTTGCCTTTGAGCTTAGTGGCATGTGGGAGTCACTATTCAACTGCAAATCTCTTGCTGGGCACAGAGGTGTAGCAAGCTCATTGAGCACCCAGGGTGGGACAGGTGCAACCACTGAAGGCCAGATGGGGTAGCAAATAGGTGAAGGCAAGGCAAGACTTGCCTTCCTAAGCAACTGCTGGCTACTGCCACTGCTGTAGCAGCATCAGTCCACCCCAGCAGCAGCAGCCCCATAACTGGGCTCCCCCGGAGCTGACAGTGGTGCCACATTTCTTCTTCCCCTACATTACATATTAGAGCAGGGCTATGCCTGCTCTGGCAAAGGCTCCTAGGGGGAAGGAGGAGAGGGGGAGCACCATTCCACTTGCCCTCACCCACTAGATATACTGCTTGCTTCCTATGATCAGGCAGTGGCAGTGCAGGGCTGCCCCTGCTGTGACACAGATTCCTGGGGAAGATTCTGGTGTCCTCTTATTGTCGGTGCCTGGGGTGCCCTTGTTATGCTACTGATTGGGCATTTGGTAGTAAATTATGCAGATGTCCAAGGGACATTTTCCCCAGTAAAGAAACATTTAACAGGAGATCTGGAAGCCAGCACACCAATCTGCATAAATTTAACACTTTTCCACATTTGCTTTTAAAAGAGAAAGCATATTGCTGAATCGATTCCTTCTCCAAGGATTCTGGATGTAAGAAACCTGATCGCAGCAAACATGGGAATTCTTCTTTTTCTGGCAGACCTTTAAGATCTTTCTATCTATCTTTCACTCTATTACACACACACTTAGTTTTCCTATCACCAATTCAACAGTATCAACATTTCTCTCCAACTGGGAAGAACGGGGCTCTGCTCCATCTGAAATTAGACAGGATTATCTATGGGGTGGGATGACACTCAAGTATATGATTCTGTGCCATACCCCAACCTTTTATCATCCTAGAGATGGAAGTTAGTTTAGGATTATTTCTCAGATCAGTCTGTAATCACATTAAGTCAAGTAGAGCTCTGCAGCATTTTGCATTAAAGGTCCCGCAATGTGCATTTAATTTAAACTTTCAAAGACAGCTTGCGGTCTGTTAAATAAACATCACCATATTAAAAACCAACCATGGGCTCGGTAGATATTGAAGCCACCAAAGTGGGAGGAGCTGAGGCTTTTCAACTGTATCTGTATCCTTAGGCAGGAAGACCTAACCAATAAAAATGCAGAATTTTTGCTGTTTTACCAGTTCATTTTACAGACACCATTTTGCTCTCTTTTGTCCCATCACTACTGTTTTCTTCTCACAACTGGTTCAGCCTCTGTTCTGTTTCCATGCAAGTAATGCACAGTTGGAAGTTTCAGATATAGCTAGGTTTTAGCAAAACTTTGCCAGAAACTAAACCAAAGTCTTTTGTGAGCTCCCTCATCCTTTATATTCTGATTTCTCTCTTTTTCTTACACCCTGCTTTCTGCATGTCTTTTCACAGCATCTGATGAAGTGAACGTGAGTTCATAAAGCTTGTTCTCTCTCTCTCCCTCTCTCTGTCTATAAGACCAGGTACAGACATTACTCTTTTACCGATATAAGTGATTGGAAACCTGTCTATACCCATAACACAACAGAAGTTCGGCACACAAAACTGGAGTATACCCATAATAGAGCAGAAGTTCAGCATACATAGCCCAGTTTAAAATGGTGGAACCTGGTCTAAGATTTCCTTCCCAACCTCCTCCCCCCCCCACCAAAGGGCAAATGGGTGTTCTGTTCGCTACTGATCTAAATTACACTGCTTACAAAAAGCCACCTAATTTAGATTGATTCCTCCTTGGGCTTTTTGAATGTCTGATACCTAGCGTAAAGGTGCATACTCACCCTGCCTTCTGATTGGGTTTCATAGGCTAGAGGTAAATGGAAGAAAAGAAACTAGGAGATTTTATATGTGGCACCAGCCACCACCTTCTCATGCCAGCCCTTTACACACTTCTTTGTTTTCAAGACCCCCAGGACTTCACTCAGCCCAATATATTTGGGCCTTGTAATGTCACACAGTTCTCCTGGAAGACCTCTAATGTTTTTGTACCCTTTTTAGCCATAGAACTAAAAGGACAGGTACCAGAAGCAATATAGCTACTAATATAGGGTATAAACAGTTGCTGCATTTCTCCCAGGAAGAGAGTATTCTAGGAGTCCATTGTTCCCTTTTAAATGCCTGTGTAGTATGCAAGATAAAATGTGCCATCACTTCCTCCCTCCTACAATGCTGTGTACATCTGTAAGTTAATAGTGTGTCATTCACCTTAATTACGAGTCACTGTAAGGACAAGCCTGTCAGGCTGTGTACTCTCACTCACTATCTACTGGCAGAGGGGCAGAAATGCAGCCAGGAAAGGGTATGGGTGTAAATGGCTGCCCCTGGTGTTTTGATGTTGGTTAAAACCCAGGATAATCAGGACCACCTCAGATGAAATGTCTGTTTAAGCCATAGTATGGTATAGCAACAGTAGAGCACTCTGCTAGGACTGATGTACTCTTTCCTTTAGCTAATTAGACTAGGCTGGAACACCATGCTAATAGGCCTATCCCAGTCCCTAAGCTAACCCCAGGTGTCTCGGCATGGTGCTATATACTTGCACTCTTAATGAAACTGGCTAAAGAATACTCTTTGCAGAACTTTGGCTGTGAAATCCTATAGTATTCCAATGAACCTGCCAACATTATTCCCTGCTGAAATGAATACAAGGCATAAGCTATTAGGTCTCCATGGATATTTGCTATATACATTGCCAGTTTACTTATATGGAAAGCATCACAAGGGCCACATTCTCAGCTGGTTTAACCAGACTTAAAGTCAATGAAGTTGTTTACATCTGCTAAGAATCCCGGACCTCTAACTGTAAGTAAACATTTAGGTTTCATTTTAGCTAATTCGGCCCTGTCTGTTTTTCTGTCAGGGGAAAAATATCACTGTTTAATGTTTCCACTAATTATGAAAGGCTGGTCATGATTCCAGAGCTGAGACTGATCTGAATTTTGCATGGGCAGTCACATTGTTACATATGAAAAATACAAAGTATTTTCCTCATAACTACTGTGCTTACTCCTTTCTTCAGTGCAGAATGACTATATACTCAGTGTTATTGCAAGGTAGTAGTCTTTGTTTCTAGAGTTTAACATCAAAAGTAGAACACGACTAATAAAGTCAAGCATAACTATAATTTTTCTAATGTTATTCTACTCCGAGGGTCTGTTTTTAAGGAGGATAAAAGAGTACTGAAAAACATCTCTTTCTGACCAGAAAACACCACAAAACTGAGAAGTCAGGGAGTAAAATGTCACATTGCTCAGCTTGCATAAGAGGGTCCAAAGTCCTTTGATCTGTGCTGGATAAACGCCAGCCCATTTCCTTTGTTTTGCTTGGTATTCCACAGCTTTATATGGAACATGCTAAAGGTATTAGTTCTGTTCCCTCACAGATCTTAAAAGAAAAGCCTAAATGGCTGTACTAGAAAAGCAGGGAGACTAGAGAGAGTCTTGCAAACACCACTTGTTAATCCCAGAGTTTCTAATTCTGTTTGCTTGTTGGTTCTTCTACAGATTACTACTCAGCGAAGAAGAGAGTCAAAACTAACACAAAAGCTGCTTCAGAAAATGTGGCTTTCTGAAAGGGAACACAGGGTTAATCTGCACCAGAGATGTTTCAAAAAGCTGGCAAATACATTTGACGGTCAGAAAATGTGCGTGCAAGCTATGAACACTTACAGCATCACAGAGAGAGACATTCATGGAAGCAGCAATGGCAAGTCTTACAAGCACAACAAAAACAGCATCAGGATGATGTCAGGCCAAATAAACTGGAATCCCTTTTAACTAAGAGTGGCTAATCTTCAGTGTTTTGGTAAGCGAACTTGGAAACTGGCTAATAGTAGCAGCCTTCTGTGCATGGGACAGCAGGGAACCTAAAGTTAAACTGTGCACATGTAACACTGTATTTGGACATGTCAACATGGAATTGGGACCATGTTTAATTCTTTTTTTATAGTTACGTGTTTAGGGTATGTACAGAAGTGCTCCATGCACATTTTACAGGGCTGTAATTTGGAGCACTTTTTATAGCACTATAAAGTTATAGCACTCTTTAACATGACAGAAGTGCAGTGTTTGGTTTGGGGGGAAGGGAGGCCTCTGAGCCTCCTGCACTTTCCAGGCTTGGAGGCAGGGGGTGCTCCACAGCTTCCTGGGGCTTCTCCACTGGTTAGAAATTTGACCACCATACAGAAGTTATTTAAAGTGCTGTAAATTACTAACATGCTGTAAAATACAGCACTTCAAATTTAAAACCTCATTTAATAAGGGTTCATTTAAAACCCTGTACCCATTTTTAAGTGCTATAAAGCCATGCACTTCTGTTAAGTTACAGCAATAAAGTGCTTTAATTGGGGAAAAAAGCAACTTCTGTACACACCCTTAATCTGCAGCCTCTCCCCTGGTTTTAGTGGTTTAGCCACCTAATAAGCTTCACCACCTAAACTGTACGGGTCTGATTTTTCAGATTTCCCAGTTCAGCCTGTGATTTTTTAGATGCCAAATTGCACCTACAACTTGGTTAGAGCAATTTTTCACTGACTTATTTCAGAGCTTGTATGTGTAAATTCCCTGCGGGGGTAAAAAGAGACAGCTACAGTTACTTTAAGGAGAATTTGGTGCTGCCTGTCCATCTACACAGGTATGCATGCACACTTGCACTCATAGAATTGGGGACCCTTGTTTACAAGTCATTCCTGGGCCCAATTCAGTTTTCATTTTCACTTCTGCAGTTCCACTGAGGTCAATCAGTTTGCTTGGGTGAAAACCAAGGCAGGATTTGCCTATTGTCTACAGTGTTTTGTAATGCCCACAGCCAATAAGATGACATTTTAGACTGATGTTTTCTTGCTAGTACCCAAACTATGATTCCATTAATATAGTTTTTCAACCAAAAAAATTAATGGCCATTAATAGCACTGGATCATCAGTCTCTCTCAGCATTGCATGGATTATTTCTTCTATGATTTTTATGTACCATACACAAACTTTTATATGTCCTCCTTTCTGTTACCCTTCTCCAGTCCCTTCTCTTCCTCCCCCCTCAACCAGTTTGGGTAAACTGAAATTTTACAGCACATAGTAGTCAGTGTATAACATGTAAAAAGAAACCTATAAAATAGACACTCAAAATGATCCTGGTGCCTGAGGACACAAGTAGGCTTCAGGGTTTAATGAATAAGTTTGGAAAGACCTCTGCATATTGGGCATTCTAGACATTTACACCATGGCTGAGAGCTACATCAAAATCAACCACGGCTTCTCACATACAGCAGATTTATATGTGCATAT